CAGCTCTCCCCCACTTCGTGCTTGATTACTCTCTCTCTCTTTCTCTTTGCAGTCTCTGTCTCTCTATCTCTCTGCAGTGTCTCTCTCTCTTTATAAGATCTGACTCCCTTTATTCTTTTTTAATTTATTCTTATTATTTTATTTTATTTTTGAAGGAAATGCACATCTTGATTGAATAGCAACAACCATTGTTCATGCAGATGATTCAGACTTCTTACGCAACCATGGTGGCGTTCGAGCTGAAGACTGTTCACTTGAGGCCAGGTTCCCCCATCCATTTAGCAGGACCCATCAACAGTTGTAAGAGGCTGTTGCAGGCCTCATCAACAGGGGTAAGAGGCTGAAGCTGGTCCCATTAACAGCGGTAAGTGCGTGACGCTGGTCTCATCAGCAGCGGTGAGTGCTTGACGCTGGCCTCATCAACAGCGGTAAGAACTTGAAGCTGGTCTCATTAAAGTGCCCGGCGCTGGTCTCATCAGCAGCGGTAGTGCTTCTGAAGCTGGTCGCATCAGCAGCGGTGAGTGCTCGACGCTGGTCTCTTCAACTGTGGTAAGAACTTGAAGCAGGTCTCATCGACAGGTGGCTGCTCCCTCCTTTGGAGAGAGACCAGATCCTGTCTCTCAGTGTCTCTCTTTGGTACACTCACAACGTGGCCATTCTCTTTCAATCAGAGCACCCACTCACTCACTCTCAGCGCCCTTCCTCTCCCTGAAGTAGAGTATTCTTCGTCTCTCATTCAGCACACCCCCTCCCTCTCAATCTGYGCACTCTCTCTCTTTCTCACCGCGCAGTCTCTCTATCTCACAGCGCAATCTCTCTCTCTCGCTGACTCTCTCCCTCACACACTGCACAATCTCTTCCTCTCACACTGCACAGTCCCTCTCTCTCACACTGCACGGTCCCTCTCTCTCACTCTCTCTCTCTCTCTCTCTCACACACACAGCCTCTTCCTCTCACGCTCCCTCTCTCGCACACAGTCTCTTTGGCTCACTCTCTCTCTCTCTCGCTCCCGCTCTCTTTCACACACACACACACACTGCCGCCATAGCTACCGTTGACCGTGAGCAGCAGGGAACCACCGCGCTTCGCGAACAGGTACGTTCGCTGCGCTCGTCGCCGTTCACTGTCCGTGTCTGTTGACTTCAACCAGCGTTGGCAGCGGTGGGCTGTGTACACCGTGCATGCTTCGGAAAAGCTCCCCCTGTCTCCATGTCCAGATGCCCGTTGTCTTCGTCCGTATCTGTGACGTGGGCGGGGTACACCTTGCATGCCGCGAGAGACTGCCCCCACCTGAATGTCCCAATCCTTTAGCTGGTCTGTCCTTTATCCCGCACAGGCCACCCAGTCTCTAATGGAACGGTAGCATGTCTCAGGCCCATAGGCCCAGTAGTAGGACCCAGGTACCAGGCCGTAGCACCAATGTTAATGATACCAACTCGCAGCGAGCAGCAGTGCCGAAGATAGCTGAACCGTAACAGTTTTGGACCGGACCGAATATGATAATACCAGACCGCCATGAGTGTCACCAGCGCTGGGCCCGAAGAGAAGAAAAAAAATAGGTCGAGTTGCAGCTCCGCTTAGTTCCGTACTAGTTACCGAGCCATAAGCATTAGGAGCAGGCTGCAGTACGCTGCCCCGGTGTCATCCTTGTACCGAACCAACAAGTCACAATTACCGTACCAAAATGGCATAGCTGGCCAAAGCGACATTCGCCAGTCCCGTTACCATACCAGCCCAACGCCGGACGCCGTAAAATGCAGCAAAAGTGTCGTGACCATACCGAACCAGTGTACCGTACCAAGATAATAATGTCGCGTGACCCGTCCCAAAATGGAATCGATAGCCGCAGCGATCCGACCATGTTATAGCAACCCCGAAACTGGTACCGCTCAGCGCTCGAGAATTACACCCGAGTTATAACTAAAGTAATAATCCGTTGAATCGGGGAAAAATTACACGTGAATTTATAATTATCGGAAGTCCGTACAAACAGATGACATCATGGTGAATGAATAATTCCTAGTTAAAATCATCAC